AGTTGTCCCTAATTCCATTATAATCTATTTTAGACAAAGTTTTTAGATAAAAGTGGTAGATAATCGCATCCCTAATGAGTTTGTCTTCTCCGATTTTTGCTAAAGCCTGTCATTTTTGACATATGACACAAACATATGTTTTTTTAAATGGAAACCATAGTTGGCCATGACTTCATAAAAAGCGCCATTTTTTAAGCTTTTCAGCGATATAAGCTATAATAGGTTTTTTTTCACAAAATTACTGAGCTATAGCCAATTCTTATTTTTCTTGACTAATTTCACTTAGTTAGCCAAGTAAACAAATTCAATCGTCGTTGCTCTCAGAAATGTGAAACTGTCACATCCAAACTTTGTAAATTAAAATAAACAAAAACTGTAAATATGAATTTAACAAATGAAGCAAAGCGTGTAGGATTATTGGTTCAACTTTTCTTGGTCGTACAGTTTCGAGGATATGTTGACCAGTGAATGTTACTTACGTTTTTTAGAGAATGATTTTGTATAGAAAACAGAACATTAGAACATGTCAAAAAAGTTAAATTTTAGATACTTATACTTTAATTTTTTTAGATACTCGCACATTAATAGAGTGGTTCCAACATGACTTTCATTAATACACACCAACCCTCCCCCCCACAATAAAAGAAATGTTAAAAATTATTTATATCATAATTATGTAGACTCGGAGATGTGGATCATGGGCCTCCTCGATCTGACCTATCCATTTTAGATTTTTTTTATGCGGTATGGTTTAAACAACAAGATTATATGGTTTAAACAACAAGGTTTACAAAAGAACTTATGAATTAAGAGAGGCACTTGAAGAGGCGGTACAAGAGTTTAATTAAGTCGACCGGTCATTCTGTGAGAATAGCTAGAAATTCAGTTGTAGAAAGATGCATTTATGTAACCAAAACAATGGCAGATTTTTTTGAACATTTTCTAAAATAACTTAAAGTGTATGTAGTGACATTATTTTTTAAAGTTTTAGTTTGTGTAATGTAAATTGTAAAGAGCCTTTTAATAATATATTTTGTCTTTTTATAAGAGTAGTTATAAATCATTACAAAATAAGGACACCATGCCAACTAAGTGAAACTAATCCAGAAAGATAAGAATTAGCTATAACTCAGCTACAACTAATTTTTTGAAAAAAACATAGCTTTTATCGCTGAAAAGCTTAAAAAATGATGCTTTTTATGAAGTCATGGCCAACTATGGTTTCCATTCAAAAAACATATTTTAGTGTCATATGTCAAAAATGACAGGGTTTAGAAACATTTGGAGAAGACAAACTTATTAAGGATGTGATTATCTACAACTTTTATCCGACAACTTTTTGCCTAAAATAGATTTTAATGGAATTAAAGACAATTTTTAAAATAGCCAATTTTTTTTTTCGAAATATCTAATGAGCCATGAACTTTTTCAAAAATCTGAAAGGCGCATATTTATGAACCCCACAAAACTGCAATTCTTTCCCCACCGACTCTCGATCTTTTAACCAATCTCCAGTAGTTTCCGAGATACCCATAGAGAACATCGTAGGAAACTCACCCTGTATAAATAATTATTTCCTAATTTTCTTATCTAATTCCTGCTTTCATCCTCTTGGCTGTGTCGGTCATTATGCATATTAATTGTGGATATTCCCTCTTCTATATGCAAGTTTTAATGTTTTTCCTTCTAGGTAGTTCGTTAGAATGTCCAGACTGTCACAAAATATACAAGTCGAAGAACTCGTTGTGTAGTCACAGGTCTCGGGATTGTATCAACAGTAAAGTGTTCCAGTGTTGGACGTGTTCGAAAGTGCTCAAAAGGAAAGAATATATGAAACTTCACCTGAGCAAATACCCACGGTGTAACATAGCCGACGATGTTCTGGATTGTTTCAACATTACCACTATCAAAAGGGAAAGAAAACTTAAGATTACTTATTAAGCGCTGATATTCTTTTTCGTTACTCTTTTACTTACCGTGCTGGCAACTCTTACTTTTGGGTCGGTATTTATATGTGTGGAAATAAACCGCATAGAAATACGACGGTGTGCTGTTGCGGCGTTGCGACATTTCTCCTGTACGCCTTTCCCTATCCAGTACAAACTAAAATGACGATCGCAAACTGCTTCTTATTAAAAGACTATTTTCCCAAACGATAACTAGATAAAATCATTAGATATGTTTTTGATCATCTGAAATGAAATTAGAGGGATATCGTTAAGGTGTCCATATTTTTTATAACGGGAAAACGTCAGTAATCGCGATAATTTAAAAAGTCGACTTTTTAACGCATAACAGGCGATAACTCATGAACCACTTTAGATATTGAAACTTTTTTTTTTTATTTTGAAGTTCGGATCTTTTGCAAGATGTTTAAATGAGTGAAACTCGATAGACTTGTTTTTTTTTCACTCAAAAATGTTAAAACCCATCCATTTATTTTAGTGCATAGCAATTTTCAGCAATCATGTAACTTTTTTATTTGTAAAGATTTTCACATACTGTCTGCGAAGAAAATATAGCAGAAATATTAAGAAAGTTTTTTAAAAAAACTATAATCGATTATTTTCAGATCAGATTTTGAGATATCGATTTTTGAAATCAGAGTTCTAATAGCGCGACCACTATCGAACACCAACTCAATTCCACTTATTGCAATACCAAAAATGCAAGTGTTTCTAACTTGCACTTAAAAATTTACAAGCTATGGGGACAGTTACAACGACTCGTTACTAAATAAACAAATAAAATATCACGAGACATAATTAAATCGTGAAGCTGAACGCATGATGTACACCTTTCTCTAGAATTTTAAGCACTGATTCGGGTCGACCGGTCGACCGCCACGAATCTGACCGAATCCGCTTCCACATCTCTTAGCAATGTGCACAGATTCTCGATTTATTTCATACGTTTGGCAACGTTTTAACTGTTCTCTCTTTGTACATATGGAAATCTCGACCCAAAACTAAACTTTGCCACCCCTTAGTATAAGTAATAATTCTATAAGGCTAGTATAACATAACACAATTCGTTAGCCTAGGCTGCGAAATAGGATTGAAGTGGGAGATCAAGAGAGATAGTTAATAAGTAATAGTTAATAGCGACAATTTCAGAACTTTGGCTTAAAGTAATAACTACATAAAATATTTTTAGAGTAAGACAATTCTCCTTAGCGTGCCTTCTTTTTATATGTAAATTGTTATATAAGTAATGTGTTATTTTTGAAGTTATACAGGGTTGTTCGAATTGTATTCGAGAAACTTCGGCAGCATATTCTGCAGATTAAAATAAGTAAAAAAGTTCGTATAAATTTATGTTCTCGAAAGCTTTGTTTAGGAGATATAGGGGGTGGAAAATTTTTTTTGTACTTTTCAAAATAATTTCAAACTAATGTCGATATTTGATTGAAGATTGGTGTCTGGGTATTATTTGACATGGGAAATTTGATTTTGATGACAATATGACTCCTATTTCTAGGTGGCGCCACCTATATATTTTTTAACTGATTTGAGTTTTAATAACTTTTTGTCCGTACCTGTATAATACTACCCAGTGAAAAAATATACATATATATATCATTTTATATTTAAAAAGTACCTCTTGATAAAAATCACTACGAGTAACCGTTTTTAAGATATTTGGAATATAAATGATCAATACCAAATAATTGACAAAAAATAGTGTTAAAATAATGTTCATCATTGACAAAAAATAAACATGTTGACTAAATAGTTATTTGACTGAAATGATAAATTTGGGAACTTTTTTTCTTAGAAGATATTATGTTGAAACAGTTTCTATTGAACAATTGGCACAAAAACAGTTCAAATTTATGATTCCAAATATCTCGACTCATAGTGATTTTTATCAAGAGACGTTTTTTTTACGCAAAACATGGTGGAAATGTGTATTTATCCCTCAGTAGTGTGTGTGTGTTTTATACCTCTCTCTCTCTCTCTCTCTCTCTCTCTCTCTCTCTCTCTCTCTCTCTCTCTCTCTGTCTTGATTCCTACAAGAGGAATGTAGTGGTCAGGTGATGTGTGAGGTTTGTCTCCATAATTCCCTGTCTTGTGCTTCATGTACAAGCGTGTGCAGTGGCTTGTGGGTGATCTTTGATAGCTGGTCTATCCATCGGGAGGGCGAGTGGCCTCTTGGTCTTCTTCCCGGAACCTTGCCCTGTATAATGAGTTTTTCCATACAGTCAGTATCCCTCCTCATAACGTGACCGAAATATTTAAGCATACGTGACTGTATAGAAGTTGAGAGGCGTTCTGTGATGTTCAGTTCTTGGATTATGGATTCATTGGTTCGCCGGGCAGTCCAGAAAATTCTGAGCATTCGTCGCCAACAGTACATCTCAGTTGCGTCAATTTTTTTCATTTCTGACTGTCTCATCGTCCAGGACGTGTTTTATACCAGTACGGACGAAAAGTTATTACTCTTCAAACCAGTTAAAAATATGTAGGTGGCGCCCCCTATAAGTAGGAGTCATATTGACATTGAAATAAAATTTCCCATGTCAAAAAGCACCCAAACACCAATTTTCATCTAAATAGCGACTTTAGTTCAGAAATTATTTAGAAAAAGTCGAAATAAATATGATATTCCTACTCCCTGTAATCTCCGAAACGAACGATTTTAAGACATACATTTATACGAACATTTTTACTTATTTTTACCTGCAGAATATCCTGCAGAAGTTTCCCAAATACAATTCGGACAACCCTGTATATTTGAAGTTATATCAAAAAATGAGGAATATACTAATTATACTAAAGGCGAATCATATACGCGTAGATTATGTTTGTCAATAAAAAAGTTAATTTTCAATTTCAGTTTCTTAAAATACACTTTTAATTAGAGTAGATGTAAATGTATTTTGTTAATATTTTTTAGTATTTAAATTGTTAAATGAGTTAAATAAATGTTTAATTTATTTATTTCTGTTACTGCATTTTCTCAGTCTATTTAATAATTATTTAAAAAAAATATATATAAATATTAGGAAAATGGGATATAAAAAATTGAGTTGACTTTTCTACGAATAAATCTTGATTTTAATGTATCCGTTATCCGACGATACGATGATACGATATTAATTTTATTGGTTGAATTTTTTTAACTTCGATTGGTGATAAAATTACGCAGTTTTTAAATTTATTGCATTTTCATGCCTCCGTTCATCGGATATACGGTTTGCTTGTTTTCGAGTGATAATTTTAAGAAAGCTGGTTTCTTAATATATCTTTTGCTATGTTCTTCTGAACAAAATGAGGACCGTCTGGCTGCCGGTACACGCTGCGTTCACTACTGCATATCCCATCTCTGTATTTAAAATCTGTTCACTACTGCGCATCACAAGTTCGCCCTATATTTCAGGAACTAGAGAGGCTAGGACAAACATATGTGTAGCATATTCAGATAAAAAAGTAGCAAATTAATGTGAAATTCGCATCATTTTCTCTCTAGAGTGTTCCTTTTTTTTGGATACAATCTATTTAGATAACATAAAGATCTTTATTAACATAATATAAATTACCTTTTCCTAATATTTGTATCTAATAATTCCCTACACCCATACAGGAATTGACTGAGCAACTAGATGGAAAGTTTTTTGTTGAAGATGCCCAAGCAAAATTTAGACCCTGCTGCAATGCTCAAATTGCTGAAAGCAGGTTTTAAATTTAAAGTTGACTGTTTTGTATACTACTGTTATTATTACTACATCTTACATTTATATTGTTTTAGCCCTATTGCCACAGATCATGGAAATATTAGCCCCCGTTTTCCAAAAAATAGACGTCATTGAGACAAAATTGGACGTGTCTTTAAAAAAGTTGAACAAAGTGCAACCAATTGCAGTGTCAAACTACATCAGCGAAGACATGAGTTGGTGTCCGTTTAAATTTCCGTTAAATAAGATGGAAGAGGTCCAGGAACTAGAAAAAAAGTTAATTTACACGGATTTCAGCAATAAAATGGTAATAATAAAGTTGTTTTTTTTTAATTTATTTTTGAAGTGAAACTTCTTTACGCGCGTTGAGAGTAAATATTCAAGGCCGTGACACAAGAGGTAGCATCAGGAAAAGTGGTAATGGCAGTGTTGCCACAGCTACCCCTTTGTAAAATAATTTAACTCGCTCTGGGTAACGATCTGTGCCATACGCGGCTAAGAAAATCAATATAACAAACTTGATATTGTACCTGTCTACCAATATCCTCTGGTTGTGTGCTAGAAAGTAAATTTTCATGCATATTTTCATCGATAGGTTTGTAGCTTCTGAATAGCAGTCTAAGTAAAGCATCTAGCTCATTTTCTAGCTCAGAATTAGAGTTAGTACCTCGCATTTTTATTGGAGGAAACTGTCAAATTTAGTTCAAACCAATAATCAACGAGAATATTCGTATAATTAATAAAATTACTGTAAACCACTATAAATAATGAATAATGAACTTCTTCTTCTGGTGCTGTCCGCTTCAGTAGCGTGTAGGCGTTCATATGTTCACTAGGCGCTATCTTCTCTGGGCACCATATAAAGTGTGTCCTCTTCAGCTGTTCTAAATATCGTGGTAGCATCCGCAATGTTACACCACTCACGGATATTGCGAAGCCATGAAGAATGTCATATTTTTAGAATCTAGAAGATACACCCCTAAAACCTCGCAGTATATGACCCAAGTATGATGTCTTCCTTTCTTTCGCTATTTCTAAGGCTAAGAACATAGTGAAGCGACGAAGCTAGCGGCGAGCAAGCAGCGCGACATCGCGTCCAAAACAAATCTGTGAAGACAAGTACCTGCGAACATAGTAAAGCGATCTGTTCGAGCGGTTAGATCGAGCGGCGAGATTGATTCAAATAATTTTGTTTTCGTCGCTCTGTCGCGCTGTAGAAAATGATAGATTCCCAAAAATTAATAGATTTAGTATTTGTAAGAGAGATCTTATGGGATCAGAAAGATAGTAATCACCATAACCATTACATTTTAGATAAGTTATGAGATAAAGTGGCAGCAAATTTTCCTAAAGGTTATAAAACTTTCTCCGGTTTTTGAAAATTTCATGTAACCAAATGTTTGCGATACTACTGCCCAGAATTTTACCCACTGTTAACATTTTAAATTATCAATAAGCAAATGAAAATAATAAATTTGCACACGTATCTCACTATTCCTCGCCGCTCTACTACGTTTTAGCACCTCGAGGGTTGCTCGAGGCAGTATCGCGCTGCTTGCTCGCCGCTATTCTCGTCGCTCCACTATGTTCTTAGCCTAATAAGAGCTGTCGTTGCGTATTTGCTCTTTGTAAAATCTGTTCATTTGATGTGGTCAACCCAGGGAATTCTACGTAATCTTCTTAATATCCACATTTCTAAGGCCTCAATTCTATTGAGGGTTTGACCTTCAGTGACCATGTTTTAGCTCCGTATAGCAGTATTGGCCATATGTAACATTTAACTACTCGTAGCCGTAAACTTAGGGGTACTTCCTTTCTTAGAAGGTAGGTTTGGAACTTAACAATGGTGTTTCGAGCCATTGCCACATGTATTTTAACCTCTTCGTCGTTATCCCACTTGTCGTTCAGCGTAGTTCTCAGATATTTGAACCTGTTTACTTCCTCGATCGACTACATAGTAGTAGTAGCATTTTGGTTTAATGGTCACAGCTGCCAGGGCTACATGATAGAATTAACTATTTACTAGAGGTGTGTAGTTCGTGAATGAACTAGTTCCAATGAACTATTCCGACCCCGGAATGAAAGGAACTAGTTCCTGGTTTCTCAAAGAACTAGTTCCTCAGGACCTATTTCGGGATCGAGACTGTGACCGATTTATAATAATATGCGAAGGCGATGGATCGGCCAGCGCGCGTAGCCCGATGCTAGGCAAGAGTGGGGCCGCATGTTATCGGATCCGGACCTAGAGGAACTAAATAAAAATCTAGTTTACGTACGGATCGGCCAGCGCGATCGTATACCGATAGTAGGCGGTAGTGGGGAGTGCCAGCCGTATGTTATCGGACCCGGGCCTAAATGAACTAGAGGAACTAAATAAAAGACTAGTTTACGTACGGATCGGCCAGCGCGATTAATGCTAGGCAGGCGTGGGGAGTGCCAGCCGTATGTTATCGGATCCGGACGTAGAGGAACTAATTAAAAGACTAGTTCACGGGAATCTATTCAGTCGGCAGATGCGAGATATAATACAAGGCGGCGACGATGGATTCGGCCTTGTCTATTGCCACAGCCGGCGTAATTACCACAGAAAATTGTCGTGGATACTCTTTTTGATTTTTAGTTTGTTCTTTAAATATTTTATGGGAATGTTTCACTTTAGGTCCCTAAAATTATAAAATATCTTATAAAACGAAGTAGATATTCTGAATTTTTAGACAAAAACAAAAAAGGATGAAGTGAGGAAAAATGCAATTTTTCGTAAAATGTTCGTAATATTTGAATAGTTCTGACTGACAACGAAACCCATTAGCAAGCAACGGGGATGTCAATGTTAGTCGGGAACTATTGTGAACTAAAAACCTAGTTCAATGAACTATTTCTCTGGAGGAACTAGAACTTAGGAACTCGTTCCTCCCAAGGAACTAGAATTACAACCTCTACTATTTACGGTTGAGGGATTATGTGATGACAGACGAGGTCGCCATAGAAGCTTGTCTGGGAAATTTCATACCCGACTGTTGAACAAAATGTTACCAAAGGAAGATCCTGTGAAAAATATCAATATTAATAACGATTTTATAGAAGGTAGTAGGTGATTGTTATAGTCCATCTACTAAAGCAGGAAATTTATTGCAGTCAAAAAGAATATGGTTTAACGTTCCAATACTTGAGCATTATATGTCACTTTTTCAAGCATGCCCTTCAAATCCTTCAATATAATAGCCGTTAGTAAGAAGTTTTACTTCAAATATTCGCACATAGTGCGCACATTGTTTTTTCTTTTTCATTTATTTCGTGGTTAGATTTTTATCATTTTGTTACTACTTAAAGAGTCCTAAAATCGGTTAATTTAGTATTTGTTTGAGAGAAAAAATATTTTCTTTTTTAGTTTGAACACTTAGTGCACAAAACATGTGCAATTGACACCAATGACGTAAAAAAAGTAACGAAACGGGTCCTGACATACATGTTTACTCTGGAATTATTAAGTCAATTTACGTGGACAGGAAGAGGCAACAAAAAACCTGCCTTTGCCATACTGACAAGGATACTGCATTTAATTTTGGAGGTTCAGAAAATAACCGACCAAACATATAATGCAGAAAGGTCTCGCCTGTTTTTACAGCATAATTGGTTTAAGTGTTTAAATCAAACGATCCGTCGTTCTGAGTAAGTAGTTTTTTTATAAAAAGTCATTTTAACACCTAGACATAAAAGTAAAGCACTTTTACGCCTAAGCATAGAACTACCAAAATATATTATTAAACTGCGTAACTATAGTTTCTCGATATATCATTACATACAAGGTATTATTTTAAATCTTTTTATCCTATTTCCAGTGGCGGCTCGTGGTTATTATTGTAGGAGGTGAATATCTAAAAATATTGCGTCGATTTTTTTAAGACGCGACCAAATTTAATTAGTTTCTTGCAAGGTACTTGTACGTTTAGTTTAATTAAATCTAAAAATACCCTTACATTTTTAAACAGGTGGTCTAGTGCATTAACTCCTATAATACCAAAGACAAAGTGCTGCCTCGTGACGTCTAAATGGTTCTAAGAGGTTTTGTGTAGTTTTCTACGTTTGAAGTCGATTTATACGATTTAGGTATAGCCTTAGGGATTAATGTAATAATAAATCTAAACATATAATAACAGCAAGGATCTATAAAAAAACACAAACAATTTAAATGATAGTTAAGTACGTAAGCAGGTATAGGTAATAAATATATGTACGTGCACTTAACTGTTCGAAATACACTAGGTAGAATCTAAATTTAAGAATGCTTATTTTTGGAATTCTCAGACAGCAAGATACCATAACATTAATAAATTATATTCAGTAAGGCATCATGCAATTCATGATTGAATTTTTCGAATCAAATTTTGATTTTCCGAAGTTTGCATCTATAGTAGTTAGCTAACTCTATACTCTATACATTGATTTTAAGTAGGTTTTGATTTTTTTCTTATTACCCTTACCTAAGCGGTAATTTTGTTACCACAGTAGTTTTTAATTAGTGTATTGGAAATACATCTCAGTAAAATATGAAGAATGGTTTTACAGAGTGAGTATGGCAACCAAAGCAAGTAAAATTGAACAAAAAATCATAGTGCTGGTAGAATATCTATATAGTTCTTTTGCTAATGTTCACAATTTTAGTTGATCAGAAATAAATTCAATTCCTTGTGACAAATTTTCATCCTCTGTTTTTAGGTTTTTAAGTAAATTGGATATAAAGTCCAAAACCTGGTAAATCTTTGTCATATCTGTTTTATTTTCTTGATACTCATTAAGATTGTCACAGTCGGTATTGGAATTGTCATGTTTAGTATCCTCGTTGGTGTCTAACGAAAAAGTCATCATCGAACTATCAATTCAAACAATTGTATCAAGTAAATTTTCTATTTCGTCCAAATTACTGAAAAAAAAGGAGTCTTTATATTATTTACTTCTGAAGTTATTACCTGACCATATAAATATGTATTTACTTTTAAGTTATCGGCAATTACAACAGCCCGAGTAATTGTAGGCCCCGGAGTGTATTCTACTTTGAATATGGATAAGCCATTCTCGTTAATAATGAAAAACCAACCAAGTTAAATTAAAAGACTGAAATAATGGTTTAAGTTCCTCAAAAGTTGTAAAACTCGTAAGTTTCTTATGTGTTAAATATTCTTGTTTGCTTTGTTCAATTGCTTGCTGAAAACGAATTTGATCTAATTCGTTAAATTTTTCGTCTTTGCTTTTCCGATATGATATCTTTTTTGATAAATATTTGGAGCAATTCGGAAATTTACTTGGTACGCTAGTTTCTTTTAATCGGGGCAAAGTTAAATTAACTGAAACGATCTCACCGGTTTTTGTATCCTATTGGGAAATTTCATAAATAAAATCCTCCTTTTCAAAATGGCACTCACCATCTCACACACCCGATTATTGTTATTTGGCCCAAATTTTCACGAGGAATTGCAGTTAACCATTTTTTGCGAAGTTTTTTGTCTCTGGGAAACCGAAACACCCGCACTTTTGTACCGCTAGCATAAAATTACAACCTGGGACACAATTATGGAACAATTTATAAAACACTACAAACACTTCACTATCTAAATTTGTTAAAAGTACAAAAAACACATCAAATAGTCCCTTCATTAATACCTAATCGATAAAATCGAGCGAATTCATTGACCCAACAAAAAAAAAACGCGGCGTCTATCTAGACAAGGAAAGAGAGTCTCTCTTTCCTTCTCTAAGGATAAAATACTCGGAAGCTGAACCGCGCAGCCGCGGTTTACGTCAAACTCAGCTGGACTTTACCGCTGATAAACTTTTATAAATATCAGAGTAAATTATGGCCCTATTTAAAAACAAAGTTAAAAACTCATCAGCATTTCTGTATTTTTAAATCATACAAAAAATATTCATTAAGTTCAAAGAATTATTCATAATGTTCAAAATTCCCGCAAAGCGCTCCTCGCCGAACAAAACAGAACTCCCCGTGTAGGATCCGAATGCTTCCGAGGTTTTCGTGATTGCGGTTGCGCGTTTCAGCTTTCCAGTATTTCGCAGTTAAACAAGGAAAGAGAGACGCTCTTTCTTTGTCTTGCCGAATTTGTGTTAGAATCGCTAGGCCCACAGACCGTGACGTCAGCATCATTTTTAATTTAAGCACTTTGTCTTTTTTGTAGGAGTTAATGTCTATTGCCATTTCACTAAAAATTCAGTCAATGCTCTTTACACAAATTTTCCACGGTAGGATTTAAAAGACATTTAAATAATAATGTCACAAAAATATAAATACATACAGGGTGAGTTTCCTAGGATGTTCTCTATAGATATCTCGGAAACTACTGGAGATAGAGAGTCAGTTAAATGGGGAAAGAATTGCAGTTTTGTAGGCTCATAAATATGCGCTTTTCAGATTTTCGAAAAAGTTCATGGCTTACTAGATATTTCGAAAAAAATAAATTTTGGCTAGAAAAATTGTCCCTAATTCCATTATAATCTATTTTAGACAAAAAGTTTTCAGATAAAAGTTGTAGATAATCACATCCCTAATGAGACTGTGCTCTCCGATTTTTTCTAAAGCCTGTCTTTTTTGACATATGACACCAACATATGTTTTTTTAAATGGAATCCATAGTTGGCCATGACTTCATAAATAGCGCCATTTTTTAAGCTTTTCAGCGATATAAGCTATAATATGTTTCTTTCACAAAATTACTGAGTTATAGCCAATTCTTATCTTTCTTGACTAATTTCACTTAGTTAGCCATGGAAACAAGTTCAATCGTCGTTGCTCTCAGAAATGTGAAATTGTCACATCCAATCTTTGTAAATTAAAATAAACAAAAATTGTAAATATGAGTTTTTCAAATGAATAAAAGCGTGTAGGATTATTGGTTCAACTTTTCTTGGCTATACAGTTTCGAGTATACGTTGACCGGTGAACGTTACTTATGTTTTTTTAGAGAACAGTTTTCAAGACATGTTAGAAAAATTAAATTTAGATACTCGCGCATTAATAGAGTGGTTCCAACATGACTTTCAACCAACTCTTCGCTCAAAAAATGTAAGAAATTAAAAATTATTTCATTATCATAATTATGTACTCAGGGATAGAAGTGGACCAATTGCATGGGTCTCCGCGGTCACCTGACCTATCCATTTTAGATTTTTTTATGCGGTATGGTTAACAACAAGGTTTACAAAAGAACTTATGAACTTATGAGAGGCACTCGAAGAGGCGGAACAGGAGAAGTTTAATTAAGTCGATCGGTCGTTCTGTGACAATAGCTAGAAATTCAGTTTTAAAAAGATGCATTTATGTACTCAAAACAATTGCGGATTTTTTGAACATTTTCTAAAATAACTTAAAGTGTATGTATTGATTATTTTTTTAAGTTTTAGTTTGTATAATGTAAATTGAAAAGAGCCGTTTAATAATATATTTTGTCTTTTTATAAGTTATAAATCATAACAAAATTAGAACACCATTGGAAATAAAAAAAGACCAGTAAAAGTAACTTTTACTGGTCAACATATCTTGTATGGTCAAGAAAAGTTGAACCAATAATCCTACACGCTTTTCTTCATTTAAAAAAAATTATTTACAATTTTTGTTTATTTTAATTTACAAAGATTGGATATAACTATTCCACATTTCTGAGAGCAACGACGATTGAACTTGTTTCCATGGCTAACTAAGTGAAATTAGTCAAGAAAGATAAGAATTGGCTATAACTCAGTAATTTTGTAAAAGAAACATATTATAGCTTATATCGCTGAAAAGCTTAAAAAATGGTGCTTTTTATGAAGTCATCGCCAACTATGGTTTCCATTTAAAAAAACATGTTTGTGTCATATGTCAAAAATGACAGGCTTTAGAAAAAATCGGAGAACACAATCTCATTAGAAATATGATTATCTACAACTTTTATCTGAACATTTTTTGTCTAAAATAGATTATAATGGAATTAGGGACAATTTTTCTAGCCAAAATTTGTTTTTTTCGAAATATCTAGTAAGCCATGAACTTTTTCAAAAATCTAAAAGGCGCATATTTATGACCCCACAAAACTGCAATTCTTTCCCCATTTTACCGACTCTCTATCTCCAGTAGTTTCCGAGATGCCCATAGAGAACATCGTAGGAAACTCACCCTGTATATACACATTTCTAAAAGTTTTATTTCACATTTTTTTTATATTTCAAGTCAATTCTTTCTTTAAACGTTTTTCGAAATTTAAGCAATTGTTTTCTTTTAACTGCACGATTTTACAAACTAAACACCATATGTTTTCTATTTGAAAATATCTATTCCAGAATTAGTCAACAAGAGTTCATTTATCCAGAACCAGAATATTATGAATTATTACCTACACAAATTTCGCGCTGCATCTCAAACCCTCTGCTACGACAAAGCCAACGGCTAAACTAAAAATTTTTCGATATTAAAAATTTAAATATTGATTTATATTGACTTAACAAAACTTTATACGCGATACGCGATAAACGAAACAGAAACCTGGGTTGTTTTATAATTTGAGTTTTTATAAACACCTAAACTGCCCAAACGGCGAAATTTTTCCAGCGATATGACTGAAATCCTGTAATATATTTATATAGAAATAATGCACTCGATATTTCTTAATCAACTATATTGATTCTCAACTGATAAACAATATTACAAATTACAATAAGAACACGCTGGTTTCTAGACAAAGACAAAAACCGCCACTTTTTATATCGTCTGTCAGTAAACTACCAAATACTAGTGTATATAAAGTTGCCTACCTTACAAATCCTTTTATGAAAAAAAGGATTTGTAAGTATTTTTTTAATAATATATGTTCGTACTTTGTTGTTGTGCTTTTTTATGTAGGCGTAAAAGTGCTTTACTTTTATGCTTAAGCGGTAAAATTATTTCTTATATTGTCGATCACGTCGCAAAAATTAATACTTTTGTGACGTTTGAAAAAGAAGCATGTTCTATTCGGAGTAAAAATATTTTTTTTTGTATCGCCTGTATGTCATCGTATAGCCGAGTTTAACGTACAGCCTCAACGAGAGAAGTATAATTTTTACTCATAATAAAACAATATACTATTTTCTACACTAAAACTTAGATAGAAAAAAGTAATAGCCTAAACTACTGTCAATCTGTTTGTAAATTCCTACTATAATTAAAAAAATATCATATGGTATATCTGTTATTATTTCAGGTTAAAAAAAAGCCAGCCAAACACTGAAGAACACGCAAGTCATGATAGTCAAGAAATTAAGCAAGAGAAAAGCTAATTTTTTATTTTGATAATTTTTATAAGTTTTTTATAAGTTTTTTTTTTAATTTTATACTTGTTTTGTTAAAGTGTTAATAATATATCGTCAGTCTACAAACAAAACAGAGTCCAATTATTAGATTTTTGACTTATTTATATAATTTGACTAGAATTATATAAATATACTCAGACTCCTTAGAATTATTAGTTTTATTTTTAAATAATTTTCATATTCATTAAATCCATAATAGCGTTATATTTGTTTAATAAAAATGTATTAAAATTTTTCTTTATTCTATTTTTGGACTTGATGATTTTTACTTGTAGACTGACGATATATTGCTTATATTAATAAAAAAATGTCTAGAACAAGAAAGTCTTTTACTTATTTATTTATTCTTCTGCAAGTCAGAGTCATATTGACATCGAAATCAAATTCCCTATGTCAAAAAGCTCCCAGATACCAATCTTCAACCTAATATAATATAGAAATGATTTAGGAAAAGTCGAAATAAATATGATATTCCACTCCCAGTGTCTCCGAAACGAAGCATTTTAGACATACATTTATACGAACTTTTTTACTTATTTTTACCTACAAAATATGCTGCCAAATATTCCCAAATACAATTCGAACAACCCTGTATATTTGAAGTTATATAAAAAAATAACGAAAATACTAATTATATACTAAAGGTGAATCATAGACGCGTATATTATGTTTCCCAATAAGAAAGTTAATTTTCAGTTTGAACAATTTAAATTGATTTTAATTTTGAATATGAATTCCTTCATTTTCAGTTTCAGTTTCTAAAAAATACAGTTTTATTTAGAATAGATGTAAATTTATTTTGTTAATATCCTTTGGTATTTAAATTATTAAATGAATGAAATAAATGTTTAATTTATTGATTTGTTTTACTGCATTTTCTCAGTCTATTAAATAATTATGTTAAACACATTTTTTATATAAATATTAGGAAAATAGAATATAAAAGTTTGTATTTACTTTTCTACGAATAAGGGATATTTTATTTCAAACCAAATCATTTAGTTGATTTTTAAGGGTTTGCCTGGAAATATACATTCGGCTTACTATAATCAAATTACTTTAAGAAAGGCCTTTGTATAGATACTATCTCTGTTCCTTTTTATGGATACAAGCTATGTAGAAAATACAAAGTTTTTTATTAACATAATAATATAAATTGCATTTTCTTAATTTTTGTATCTAATATATCCATTCACCCTCTTGGCTATCTCGGTCATAAATGTATATGAATTCTGGAAATTGTCTCGAGAAGTACATTTTCATGTTTTTGATTCTAGTTGGTCCGATAAAATGTCCAGACTGTCACAGAATATACAAATCGAGAAACTCTTTGAGTGGTCACAGGTCTCGAGATTGTGTCAACAGGAAAGTGTACGAGTGTTTGACGTGCTGGAAAGTGCTGAAAAGGAAAGAATATATGAAACTTCATCTGAGTAAATACCCCCAGTGTAATATAGCCGAGGATGTTCTGGATTGTTTCAACATTACTACTATCAAAAGGGAGTCTAATACCTAAGATAGTGCATTAAAGAAATTGTTGATTTTACTGAGCACTGAAAATTTTTGACTTAGTTTTTTCATATACCTAAAGGGTGTTTCAAAAGACATGTACCATCTCTCATGGGAAGATTCTTCACGTAAAAATAAGATTTATTTATTTATACAACACAGGTCCGATTCTGCTTTGTTTGGTAGCTACAAGCGGTTAAAGTTTTTTGATTTATTATAATTGTAATATTTTAGAGAATTTGCTATAAAATATTATCGAAATAAAATACTAAACTTTTCAAAACCTCGTTTAATACTATAGCTAGACCCTGTATCTAAATTAAAAGAAACATCAAGGTTTTCAATTTTTAAAAAAACTTGGTCACATTCTGGTGACCATGCCCATATAACATCCTTTTTTAGCAAATAATATAAAGGATGGAGCAGTGTTGCCAGATTAGGCACAAAAGAACCATAATAATTTATAAGACCTAAAAAAGATTTTAATTGCGTTACATTTTGGGGCTGTTCTGCATCTTTTATGGCTTTTATTTTTTTGTCTGATGTATGTAGTCCTTCTTTATTAATAATGAAACCCAAATACTCAATTTGATCTTGGAAAAAACTACATTTAGGTAATGAAATTTTTAAACCTGATTCCTGCAGAATTTGCAAAACCATTTTTAGCCTAATTAAATGTTCCTTACGATTACATCCAGTAATTAAAATATCATCAAGAAATACTACTGTACCGTCAAGGCCTTGCAACAATGATTCCATAATTTTTTGGAATTTGGCAGGTATACTTGCGATACCAAAAGGTGCCCTATTATATTGATATAAACCTTTGTGAGTGGAAATTGTCATCAATTCCTTTGAAGATTGATCTAAGCAAAATTGTTGATAAGCGTTAGATAAATCTAACTTGGAAAAATGAACGCCTCCTTGTAATTTGACAAAAAGTTCATTGATACGAGGCAAAGGATATTGATCAATTTCGATGTATGGGTTAACGGTAACCTTAAAGTCACCACAAATTCGTACTGAACCGTCTTTTTTTAGTACAGGAACGATAGGTGTTCTCCAAGGACTGTAATTGACGGGTGTAATGACCCCAATTTTTTCTAAGCGTTCCAATTCCAGATCAACTTTATTTTTAATCGCAAACGGCAAAGGCCGTGCTCGAAAAAATTTAGGTGATACGTTTTTCGATTTTAATTTGATCGAAATACACCCCTGTTTTAAAGTACCTAGCCCTGGTGCAAATACCTTATTGAATTATTTAACTAAACTATTTATATCAACTGGCAACTCTAAAAAATTTATTGTTGAAATGTATAAACAGAATAAATTATAAAAATCCCTACCTAATAAAGGCGGACTGACTGCATTTTTAATAACATATAGATCTAATTCACATTCTTTGTTATTGTAAATCACATTACAGGTAATATAACCCAATGGAACAATTTGGTCACCATTATATAAGTTAAATACATTATTGGTGTGTTTCAAATTTTTATGGTAAAATTTTTCTATATAATAATTTTCTGAAATAACACTATTGCCTCTATGATAAGTTAACAAAGTAAATTTGCGACCATACAAATATTGATTAAATTTACAAACAGAAAAAATTATGCTTAGTCCCTCTTTTTCAATTTGACTAAACTTCTTCTCAGAATCTGAAAGAGTGCGTGAGGCAAACGCGATAGGCTTCTCGCTGCCATCCGCATAAAGGTGAGAAAGCACACCCCCAATACCATAATCGCTTGCGTTGGTACTCAAAATAATAGGTAAGTCTGGATTATAATGCACTAATATGGGTGCTGATGTAAGAAGATCTTTTATTTTTAAATTAATTAAAATTGCATTATTTGTACAATCTAAAGTAAATAAACAATAATCTTCAGATTCTAAATAATTTTGAGAATGGCTAACTAACATCGGTTTATTTACATTATTTCTATTTTTATTGGGACATACCGGTGCAAGATGCCCCTTTTTTTACAACAATGACAAAAACAATCTCTAAACGCACACTGACCTGTTTCGTGGTTTTTGCGACCACAAACCTTGCAAGCTGATGTGCCGGAGAATCGCATACCCTTCTTGGCTGATAATTGACCAGCGAACTGACCTTTGGACCGCAAATGGTGTGACGTCTGCGCTGGCTTATTATTGCCCCTTAGCCCTGTGGAATGACTTCGCCTCTGGTATCCCCTAGCATAGAGAAGTTCTGACTCCTGTTTGACTAAAACTTCATTGTTGTAGGTTCTTACTGCAGATTTTGCTGCGGCAATATCAATCATATCTACAAATTTGGTAGACTTCTTTTCTTCCATGAGCCTATCTTGCACTGGCCCAGGATTGAACCCCACTACAAACATGTCACGCAACACTAACTCTAGTTGTCCAGCTTCAAAGTCACAAGGTGAAGCTAAGCTGCGTAACCGGGCTGCCCACTCACGAGAGTTTTCGTTTTGAGTTTTCACAGCACGATAAAATTTGTATCTTGCAGCAAAAATTGAAGAGGGGGCTTAAAATGTTCGGTGATTAATTTTACAAGCACATCGTACCCTTTTTTTTCTGGTTCCTCAGGTAAACATAGATCAAACACCAACTTGTAGGCATCTTCACTTAAAAGGTTTAATAAAATTGCCCTTTTCCTAACTGCGTCTTTAATTTCGTTAGCCGAAAAATAATTTTCAATTTGTCTTTTATATATTGACCAGTCGGAATTTAGAGGATCAAACTCGCGTAAATGTCCGACATTTTCGGTTGAGGTTGGCGTGGTAGCTGTCGCCATTGTCTTCAAAAAAACACCACGAAAAACACTAATTACACTTAATCGACACAATCGTGGGTTTTTCAGATAAAATCAGAGTTTAATATGAAACCCGATTTTACGTTCTCGTCGCCACTGTAATATTTTATAGCAAATTCTCTAAAATATTACAATAATTTTCTTCCAATTAAGTATAAAAGTACGAACATATATTATTAAAATGACATAAAGTGTCAAATTCAACGAGCGTAACCATAGTTTCTCGATATATAATTACATACAAGGTATGACTTTTAAATCTTTTTATATTATTTAGAACATTTGAAATTGTTTAAAAAATTATTTGTGGCGTTTGAAAAAAAAATAGCATGTTTTGTTCGGAGTAAAAATGACTTTTGTACCTCGCCTGTATGTCAACCGTAAGTAAGTCAAACGTACAGCTTCGCCACAAAAAAGTGTCATATTTACTCCTAATGAAACAATATACTATTCTCTCATCAAGGCGGCCAAAATCGACAAAATATTAAGAGACAACTTTTAATCGGCATTAAACGGCTTACCGTATTTCCCTAACAAGAGAAAAAAGTCAGTGGCGTACATACTTTTTTTAGAAAAATATTCCAGTGATAACCAACTTCCCTGGTGAATATGGCGACATATTTTTAGCATTAAAATATGTCGCATTTATAGTAACTTTTACCCTCAAACTTTTATTCGAATCGCTAAAAATAATTGGAAGTAAATTATAATAAATCGTAATAAAATTTAAGTCTTTGTAGTAATGTCCCTGTAGTAACGAAACAAAGCAGAATCGGACCTATGTTGGTGTGAAAAATAATTCTTATTTTTACGTG